CTCTTTCAGGGATCTCATCTTGTACCTTATCCACATGGCTCACCTGTCGACTGGCCAGCTCAGAGCAGCAGAGGATGTTCATGGAGAGGGAACACTCACTGCACCACTCGCATGAGATGACGGAAAAGGTAGAAAAGAAAAAGAAAAATGGTTTAAGATTTGGTATGCAAAAAAAACTGTGTCTCATTTGTGTGTGTTTTTCAGGAAGTACTGGACAACTCCAGTAACGGTATTCCTCAGGTCTCCTACAACGGACACACAGCTGCAGCTTCGCCTTGATGGCTCCTCGCTGGAGACGAGCGGCACGCACACTGGAACAGAGACAGTCAGCGTAGTCCGCTCAACATGTCCCCAAACCTGCTCCGAGGCGAGCCAGTTCACTCACCTTGGAGCCTTTGATTTTTCTTCCATCAGAAGAAGACAAAATGTCACAAGGGCAGCTTTTGTTCTTCTGAGTAATTATGCAAACATGGGTTCAAAGCTCCTCTGTCCTCAAACCAAAGCCTGGATGGTTGAACTGTTATTTTCAGAATCCTTGAAAGGATGAGCACAAACTAGGCATGCAGCTGATCTTTTGTTGTCCTCATTCGGTTTCTCCCTCTAGTTTATGGAATGCAGATTGAGGTAACCACCTGTAAACTGTATCGTCTGACAATGAAACGCTTTGTTATGAAAACGACAAGCTACATGCTGGAGATGTATCAGTGCTTGTTTATTAAGTATAAATCCAAGATATTTTTATAATGCTTCTTTTAAATGTCATTTAAATAAAGTATAAATGGCTAATCTGAGATTTGGATCTGTGTTTGTGGCACGTTTTAAAAAGCAATAGAGATACGGCCAAAAGATGAGTTCATTCCTTTGAAAGCAAAACGTAAATCAAGTCAGGTTATTACACTTTTATCAGCTCAGCTCCTAAACCCTAGCATCAGCATCACACATCGATAGTTTGAAAACAATCCTGTCAACAGTCATGGCTGCAGAGGAGGATTTAAGAGCTAACCTCCTGCTTATATGAGACCACAGTTTAACACAATAATGCCTTTGGCAGATGAAGTAAATCTGTTTTATGGCATCTCTCAGACCCAYGAGCACAAAGTGCTTCACACAGCAGTAAGACGCGTCATCACCTAAACTCACRCAGGCTGACTTGTTGTGAAGATATGCAGCAGCTCTGACAACACTGTTCTACTTCCTAATTATGAGTTGTTTGTGTGGGTTTTTTTTTTTGTACTCCAGATGTGAGCGTTGTTGTTGTGGTGTGTGCACATTTCTCTCCGTGTGGACTGTTTTCCCATCACGGCTGAAGCTGCTGGGTGCTGAGGGTGTTTTGAGGAAACCACGTCACCGTTCATCACCGTGACTACAGACAACCGGAGGGGGCAAGACGCCCCCTGAGAGCGCAAGGATTCGCAACTTATCCCATCCGAGAGGAGTGCTGAATCATGCAACCTCCTGTGGTGCTGTGCTGTCAGAAAATAGTAACACTAGATCTGTGTGTGTGTGTGTGTGTGTGTGTGTGAGAGAGAGAGAGAGAGAGTGAGTGCACTAACTGACACCTCAGGTCACCCTAATGATCTTAATGTGAGGAGGATTACAAAATCAATGAGTGCCCTTTCCCAGCTTGTCAACGTGAAGATTGTGCAATAAATGTCATAGAAAGCTACCTTTCTTGATTATTTTTGGGATTAAAATTGTATTGGAAAGGACTCACTCTAAATATATATATATTTTGCACATAAATAATCCACTTAGAGTCTACGACATGGCAAAGAAAACTTGAAAGTGTCCATAAGCTTCCTGTTTAACAGACTCTTTCTTATTTAAAGGCCACTAATTAGCACTGTTAGGCAAGGCCCGTTTTATGTGTTCCCGGTCGCTGTGCCATCAAGGAAAATTACAGTTCACATCAGCAGAAACCTGGGGCTTTTGTGGCCTTTTCTTTGAGCCTCCGGGGTTGTGGGGTAATTGCTTCTGCAACCAACAAACAAACACATTGGTTCCCACATATTCTGAGAACTCACAGCTTCACTGGAGTTAGCAATGTTTTTTGAGTTTTATCACATGTCTCATTAAACTTTAACCAGGAGGATTTACAACTCTGTTACAGRAGAGACCTGGTCAAGATGGCCGATTATAATAAGCTGAAAAAAAAAAGATTAGTATTATAAAAATAAATAAGTCCAAGTGAAAGTAAAGAAGTGCAAACTCCTTTTAATTTACAGAAGCTATTATAAGAGCTATAACTCTCCCTATAGGCTTTAGAGTAGTCTGAATAAAATGCATTATTCCATTTTTTGTTCAACACAAAGCAGCTGTTATTTTTGCTTAAAAACTATTTTAAAACCCAAGGATGTCTAAAAAAATTGTCAGTATATTCAGCCTAAATGTGTAAGTCTGGATTAAAGTTTATGTCAACAATAGCTTTGTCAATACAGGAAAGTTGTAATTTTTCTGTTCTTTCCCTAAAGTTGTTTCTGTTAATACATTTTTTAAAGCTTGTTTTTAGTACATACACTGATTATTTTTTAAGAGCAACTGTTTCAGTCCCATTTCTAAATACTTTGCAAAACAATTAAATTAGGATTTTGTTAATTGTGTTCTTTTTATAAAAAATACATATTAGATTATAAAATATTAGATTTGTTTTTGTTCTCAAACTGTATCTTTTTACAATTAAATGGTACATTTAAAGATATATTTTAGATAGATAAATGTAATAATACAACTTTTAGGATAGACAGACAGACAGACAGACAGACAGACAGACA